TCTAGTGTCCCGCAACTCTTCTTCTTTTTTAATTGCTCCTTCTCCTTGGTTTCCCACTACCTTACCCAACTTCTTCCAGCTTTCCTCAGTCCATCTCTTCTACAGCAGCGATTCTCTTCCTCATACTTTCTGTCTACTTTTCTCCCGAAGTATGAGCTCTGTGAGATCAACAGCAATCCCTCATTTATTTCTCTGTACCCAGCATCCAGTGTAAACAGTAATCATTCAGGGAAAGCTCACAAAATGAACACACAGATGCCCTTCTCCAAACCATAGTTCCTCAATCTAATTAAAGGGAACAAACATTTTCTGTGCTCCAACTGCATGCCACATGTAGGAAGAGTAAAAGAGATGAATAACACATGGCCCGTGCCCTGCAGGAGTTATTTACCATCCAGTGAGAGTGATGAGGGATCCAGATGGATGTGCCTACAGATTTGTTGGGAGGACAGAGAAGGAGGGAAAAGAAAGGAGAAAGGGGAAGGAAGACAGGTGAAACAGATGAATGCCATTCACTTATCTAGGCAAGGGTACACATTAGGATGCCGATAAAAGTAATACATGTGTGTCCTTCTTCAAGAAATCATTTTAATCAAATTTAAAAGGGAGCAATATGGCTGACTCTAGTCATATAAATCATGATTTCATTACAGAGAAACAAACTTTACAGTTCTACTCTAGCACACTTGAAATATGAATATATATATATATATGCACACAGAAAATGCATTCAGACTTGGGACTACAGACTGCATTTCATCAATGGAAGCCTGTGGCTGGCAGAGTAAGCTGTCATATCAAGTCTCAAAGGGAAGCCTTTGTAAAACCGTGCATTTGAACGTATTTTTCCATCTCTTGTCTTCCTTGCATTTTAGAAAGAGAGGGCTGTGCGCAATAGCTATTAATTCACTTGGGCTACAGCTACACTTGGGCTTTTTTTTTCTTAGTTGTAATGGCTTTTTTTTTTTTTTTGGCCAGTCATGGGGCCTGAACTCTGGGCCTGGGCGCTGTCCCTCAGCTCTTCAGCTCAAGGCTATGGTTCTACCACTTGAGCCACAGCACCACTTCTGGTTTTCTGAGTGGTTTATTGGTGATAAGTGTCTCACGGACTTTTCCTGCCTGGGCTGGCTTTGAATGGCAATCCTCAGATCTCAGCCTCCTGAGTAGCTAGGATTACAGGCGTGAACCACTGGCTCCCAGCTTATAATTGCTTTTTAAAAAATTAATTGGAGATAAAAGTCTCATGGACTTTCCTACCTGCACTGGCTTTGGACTGCAATCCTCAAATCTCAGCCTCCTGAGTAGCTAAGATTATAGGTGTGAGCACCACACTCAGATCTAAGAGTTTCCTTTTTAATGCCACTTTCTATTTTCCTCTTTTCATTTTGATTTTCTTTTTTATTCAAGTTGATAGAAGTTAACTTTAGTATCTAGTAAACAGAATAGTCTGCAGAAATGCAGCTGAATTTGAAAAAGTAATATAACTATCAATTGATATGTCGCTATTGTGATTTGCATTTCCTGGTGTTGAAAGAGCAGCTTATTTATAAATTGATAGCTATGTTATTTTCAGTGGAAGTGTGAAACTATTTGTTGACATGTAAGAATTCAAATGTGTGTAGAATGTGTGCATATGAAAGATGAGTAACCAAATGGCTAGACTGGAACAGTTGCTAATTTATTGTTTCCTAGCTCTAAATTTATCTTGCCTTGACAGTTCTATAAAAAGAGCTGTGAGCCCTTTGAATACTTTTCCTTTACCAGCTTGATAAGAAAAGTTAAGCATTTCCAGTAGAGGGCACTGCAAAAACATTGCAGAAGGAAGCCATTTTCCATCCGGGTCCTTGTGTGCTAGCTCAACTGACTCCTGCAGTGCCTGCCCATGGCTTCTGCAACATAAGTACAAGTCCCTGCTCCTGTAGCCTCAGAACCCACTCAGGGCTCAGTTTCAGTAGAACTCAGCAGCCAAAAACTTTCCCCTATTCCGTTGTAGAGTGTATTTGGTGAGACGCTTTCTTCACAAAAAGCTTTCTTACAAGCCTGAGCTCTAGGGGAGCCTCTCTGCCCCAGTGAGTTGTAGGCTTGCCCTTTCCCACAAGATACAGATGATACACCTCTGGGATTTCCTCTTGGGTATCTTCAGCCCTACAGGTAGTGGCTATTTCTTATATGTGACATTTCTATATTCTTTTATAGCTCAATCTGCCTCTTACTAATCCACACACCCCCAGATACACACTATTTCCATCTCTTGTAATAGTTCATCATTCTTTTTATTAAACTTCCTCCTTTTCAACTGAGTATATGTGCCACAAGCAATGAACATACCCATTACCCAGCTCTGTACTTCTAAATAATCATTCTCCATAACAAGGAACCAGGGTTCCTTAGGGGGAAAGTCTCATTCAGCAATTTCAGGAAAATGAAATACATGAGCCTAGAATATCTTAGAACCAAAAAAGAAAAGAAGGGCTCAATATCAGAAGACTGGCCAAAAGGACACAAGGGACACAATCTGACCACCAAAATAGATGGTGTGATATTGTCATATAACCCAAAACACCAAGTAAATACACGTGAGTCCAAATTGGTATCAACTGCTGAGTAAACAGAGAAAGAAGAAACAATTTTAATTCCTTACAAGATGATTTCAAATGACATCACTAGCTACTCCCCACTTAAAGATGACATCAGTAGACACTCCCACTTAAGGATGACATCATCAGTAGACACTCCCACTTAAAGATGATATCATCAGTAGACACTCCCCACTTAAAGATCCAGTTGTGGTGGTTTGGTTTGGTTTGTGATTTGCAGTGTTGGGGATTGAACTGTGGGCATTGCTTAGGTTAGCTGAGCACTGGAAGAGAAAGACTCTCAGCAATGCCAGCTCTTCCTCCCTGCAAACAAAGCTGGATTTAGTGGTTTCCACACTACAGCACAGGAAAAGAGAAAAGTAACTTTATAGCAAGCTCTGCTTTAGTGAGCTGACAATATCATGAGGGGTGTCATGTGAATATTTAATACAGTGACTGAGTATACCCCAACTCTGTAAGTATACTTATATGAGGAAAACACCAGACTCACACACAGCTTGGGCTGGGAATATTCTACTGGAAAGCCAAGTAGGATGAGGACCTGAGTTCAAACTCTGGTACCACCAAAAACTAACCATAAAGCTAAAACATGCATCATAGCAAATAAATGAAATGTTGTCTAATGATCATTTTCAGAATTCTATAATCTTCATTCACAAGCCAGCAAATACTGAAGTACAGCAGCAGTTTACTTTCTGGAAGGTCTCTATCAGTTCTAGAACATCTGAAACCTATATTTCTACTCCGTTTGGAATAGAAATACTTTATCTCGATCTCATAGCTGTAGTTTTTACAAAACAAAGTACATGTGAAATTCTTCCACAGTCTTCTTGTCCTGGAATTAGTAATAAGCTTCGATTTACAAATGAAGAATGCGACCACTTTTTCCTTTCCCACTCATTTACAATGTTATTTTTCTTCCAAATGTCTAGGCACAACTGGGATTTAAGCTGGAAAAGTTAATGAAAGCAATATCGCATTGAAGGTCAGTGGGCCAGAAAAAGATGGACACAGGCCAAATCCCACATCCCAAGCATTCTGCCTCAATCGCCTGTGAACACATTGCCGACTAGCCCTCTGCTTGCCTGCACAAGCGAAACCAAACCCTCCAAGACAGTTAGCACTAGCACTGAGAAGCCTGTCAGGAGCAGAAAGACAGACACAGACACACACACACACACACACACACACACACACCCTGCCTAAGGTACAAGAAAAAAGCTTTCATACCACATGTTTGGGGCACAGAAAACACAAAGGCTTTCTCTGGAAGTGCTGTTTCAGGAAAAGCCAAGCAATTCCAAGGTTTTCTGATATTTTTCTTTTAAGTAGTCCTAACAAGATCAAGAGTAATCTCCCCAGTTGCAAAGTAAGCAAGTAAAATTGGTAAAAGCAACTTCTCCAGACAGCTTTAGGTCCTTTTGGGCCAATCTCAGAAAAGCATTTGATAGCAACGGAGACAATCTTTGCTGCCATGGGAGTGTTCTGAAGCTATGATTTCCGTTTTCTTATGAAGGTAATGTTTTGTGCATGACAGCAGAGCTACACTTCAGCTTCCACTGTCATTTTTCAAGGGAAATAAAGATGAAGGGAACAGGAAGTGGACACAATTATGCACTCAGGGAGGAGTTAGCTGCAGGACTTAAATGTTAACTGTGAAACTGGTCCAAAGAAATGGGATTGCATAATATTCCATCATTTAATCTTTATGATAATGGATGTGGGATTTTAGGTATGGCCTCCTTACAGTCGAGCTAAACATCCTTTCTGAATTGTCATGCTAGCACACTGAAGGAAAATTTTATACTATTTATGATCTCATGTAACAAGCATCAAAATGTTCGCGAATTTTCATTTCTTACAAATTGATCTTCCTCTATCTCAGCAAGTGCCCATTATCTCCAGCTCAGAATTCAGAGATAAGTAGTGCTGCTAGTCCCATATAAACTAACAACTTTATTGGTATTAAAACCCACGGGTGGTCAATTTTAATCACCAAGAAGTTATCTTAGATCTCAATCGGGATTGTATAGAAGGTGGCATACGATTCTTACAGAAGCTTGATTCTGATGAGATCGAGTCGTCTCTCCAGTTCCAAAGTGAGTAAGTGAAGTTGGTAAAAGCAGCTTCTCAAGACAGCTTTGGGGAAAGGTTTTGATATGCACAGAAGCCTTGAAAGCCCTTTCCTCCCAAGTGCGTGCTTTGATACTGGGCTAAGGATAGTTCTACAATAAGTGCATGTGCAGGCTGAACAGGAACTGTCACATGAATGATTCCTTTTGGAATTCCACGCCATGATCCTCTTGGGATAAGGAAGGAAGCCATGGTCTGGGGGAATCTGCAGACAAGGGGACTCATACAGCACAGAACACCCAAGACAGACAGCAGCAGGTGGGAACTCACCACTGGAGCAGTTGGTTCCACCCCAGCCAGGCTCACAGTGACAGGTGTTGGGAGCAATGCAGTGGCCATGGACACATTTATCCGCACAGTGAGCTGTCAGAGAGAAAAACATCAGTCAAATCCAGAGAGTTGGCACGAGAAACAGAAGGCAAGAAAACCAACAACACAGCTGTTGCGCATCCGAGGCTCAACTATCACTTAAAAACAACATGCACGCTTCATCGTCTTCTCCAAGCCCTTCCTCAGCCCTCTTACAGCCTGCTGAATAACCAAACAACTCCCGCCCTTATTTTCAGATCTCCAAATAAAGTCTCCCATTTCTGCCGTTGAGATCGACTTCATACTACATTAGAAAAGAAGGTTCCAGGAAAACTGCCTAAACTGCTTTTTAATAAAACTGTCAGGGAGGACCAAATGGGTGCAGCGGATATGAAGAAACACATCACAAAGCAAGACGTCAAGATCCCAGAGGGACAGCATAGATCGAGAGGCAATTCCCTTATGGAATAGGGTCACCAAAAATGATAGTCACTTTTGTTGGTGAACACATAACTCACAGCTGTGACACAACAGATTCAATACACTTGTTCTATTGAGGAGAATTGAGAAATGTCACCCAGATCTTTGGGAAATATATTCCCGTCCTGTTTTATTGGTGAATCTCCAAGCTGAGATCCATCCCAAAGCTGAGATCTATAGGATCTCAGTTCACAGCTAGTCTAAACAGAAAAGTAGCACACACACAAAAAAAAGTGGTAAGACTGGTAGAATGGCTTCAGTGGTGGGACATTAGCTGTGAGCAGCAAGCTGAACAAGGAGTTCAAGCCCCATTATGTACAAATGTACAAATTAGACGTGGTGGCTGATGAAAATTCCAAATTTCTGTTTATTCAGTAGTGCCACTCTCTCCATTTAATTCTATAAAAATATGATAGAGTTGATATATAGCATTGAAAGCATTCCTTTGTTTTTTTAATATATTGGGGATATACATAAGATATATATCTTATATATATAAGATATATATCCCCAATATATTAAATATATATATATACCAAATAAAATAATGCTACCCCTTGAGAACCTGAAAAATCCAAGACATTGGATGGGATGGGAGCACATTGGGTTTTGTATCTGCCAAGGAGCCTGTCTGCAAGAGGAGGAGGTTGGCATGTTTGGTAGACAGGTCTCAGTGCTGCTTTCCCGTTCTTCTCTCACCTTTCATCTGTTCTTTCCTTAACTTCTTTCTTGCTTTCTAACATTCATCCCGTCTCTCCCTGCAAACTGCTTCTAGGACATGCAGTTACCATAGAGGCTGGAGATTAAATTTTGATTTTAGTTGTAGCTATGTTGGATCTTAACTCCAATGATTTCTGCTAGACCACTTGAATTGACTATTAAGACACAGATGACTCAACAACATCTCTGCTCCAACATGAAGAAAAATTTTATTTGAAAAGTTGAATAAGAAATGCATAGGCTACCCCTATTTCCAGAGAGCAAATAATCAAAATTGCGAGCTACTCAGGAGGCTGAGGTCTGAAAGATGATAGTCAGAGGCCCAGCCCAGGAACAAAAATCTGCAAGACTCTTATTTGCAACATAGCTAGCAAAAAGCTGGTCTGGAAACATGCACGACTCAACTGGTAAAGCACCAGTCAAGTGAGAAAACTGAGCTAGCGTTAGGTCCTGCCAAAAGTAATAATCATCATCAGATCTGCATATGCTTGTTCTTAATCTTTTATTATTTTGGCACTTCTTTTGTCAGCTCTGGAAAAATAATAAATTCCCTTGGGCAGAATCAAAGGAGATGTAGCTTGAAATGCTTCCAGATTGTTGAATAATAAAACAAACGTGTTCATGTTTCATTCATGGCAATGTAAACTTTTAGCTTATACCAAAGGAATCTTGACAAGTCTGGACAATTACAACAAATAATACATGAAAATCCTCTGATAGTAATTTAAAAATCAGAATTATTTTTGGGAGACCCTTGTAGTAACAACTGTCTCGTGTCTAAAACAAATTGCGGATCAGTCATTAGCGGAACCCATTCATTTGTCTGAAGGGTAATTAAGAAGGAGAAATCTGCTTTCCTGGTGATGTCTTTTTCTTAATTAAAACTCAAGCCTATGCAATCACCTTTGAGCTTTGCAAAACTCCTACTGTCAAATAAGAACATAAATGACGGGAAGCACTGTTTGCTGGTAGAAGCTGCACATGGGAAGGACACAGGGCTCTGCCTCTGTAGCAGAGAAGCTACACACCACGCTGGACCCCTTGCTCAAGAGCAGCCCTGTTTCTGCTTTCCATCCATGCCACTGTGACTAACAGACAACATGTGGAAACCGAGGCAGGGTTAAAGATACGACTGAGTCGTGTGTAAAATGCCCGAGGGAACTAGAAAAGAAGGAAGAGAAGAGTCTACCTCAGCAAATGTTCAGATGCTCAAATAGTTAAAAGGTTCACATGTTTGATCCCAAGCCCACGTGCAGAAAACCATTCTACCTGTGGCTCTCCGGCGCACAGAGACAGAGAGCCATGTTATTCCTTTCTGTGTCCTTTCTTCCTATTTGCAAAAGAGTCAGTAAAACTAAGATTACCCCAGCCAAGATGGTCTATCCCATAGGAGCCATCTTTCCCACTTCTCGTTAAAAAAAATAATTATGTATTTTAGTCAAACTCGCCTTTCTTTGAGGCAAGATATAAGCTGAATCAACCCCCACTCACTACCCTGCTGTAGGTCCATGAGGCTGCCCAGCGGAAGCAAGACATCTTCCCTGCTAGGAGCAGGAGACAAGAGATGAATGAGATGGACAGGGCTTGTCTTTGAAGTGAAGGCTGTGGGAAGCCTGTCTGCCTCCTGGACAGGTGAGCACTGGCATGCCGACCCCAGGGTCCTCTGTAATTTAGACTCCTGTTTCAGTCTTAGTTCCTAAATCCACTTAAATCCTATTAGCAATACCATGGGCATCACTGCTTTCACATACAAATGCACGGCTTTCATACTGAGAGCCATCAACGATAGCCAAGTATATTTTTTTCCTTCTGCCACATATTGCACTTTGGATTTACACCTAGGGATGGAGAAAATGTGAAAGAAGAACAAGCAAAGATCCCTTTAAAACTTGATTATATTCCTCAACAAAATCGTTCTGAAGGGAATGATATAATAATGTGGATATGTTTCTAGGATCAAAGTATTTCTCAAAAGTAACTGTCCCATAGAAACAAGCTTTCCAACAACCTAGTTTGAAAAGCACAGGTCCCTTCCTTTCCATCTGCGTCACTAGTGCCTGGAGTGAACTTGCAAAGTGCATTAGACAACTCTGAGGAAAGAGAAGAGAGAACCAACCATGGAAGCCTGGACTCTGAACTCTTCCCAGGGTGAAAGGTTGGTGGCTATACATCACCTCCTTCCAGACCTCTTTTTCATGAGCATAATAAATCCCTAGTATATACACATTTGTTTCAGAGGCCTATTTTTTTTGTTGTTACTCAAAACATGATTCCTAACCAGAACATGTATCCTTTGGTAAGTCTTTTAGGTGAGTCCACTTTAAAAATGTAGTAAGTATCTACATTAGCAGAACGGATCGAAGGCCTTTCTCTAAGAGAAAGAGATGTAAAGACTCACAATTTCTACAGGGCCTTTGAAGGAAAGGTGTTCCAACCTAAGTCTAAGGGGAACAGGTAAAAGAGGTGCAGAGAATAAAAATATCGACACTAATTATACATCGTATTCCCTCATGGAAACACCATTTGACTTGAATTACAATGCAATATATTCATACTCTACTTACTATATACTTATTGTGATATTGTAATATATGTGTATTTACATTGTATATATATACATATATATATACACACATATGTATATATGAATGTATATATGATACTCATATGTATCATATATGAATATATACATGTGTATATGTGTATAAATACTTACATATGTTTAAAACACATCATTACCTCAAAAAAATGTAAAAAGGCATTTAGTATGCCTGAAAGAAATGTCTGCCAATTAGGATCAGAAAGAAGTTTCTTGCTAGATGGTGGTGATTCATGTCTATAATCTTGGCTACATGGGAAGCTGAGAGCAGACAGATGTAGGTTTGGGGCCAACATGGGCAGAAAAGCTCTTGAGACTTTATTTCCAAACTACCCAGCAAAAACATGGCTAGAGGTGCAGTTCAAGAGGCTGTGCATGAGACCCTGGCAGACATCAAAAGTCAACACATCTTAGGGTTCCTTGTGCATAAAGCTCTAGAAAATACACTGCAATCCCAGCTAACAGAAAGAGCATACTCCTAGCTGCCTGAGGAGAGGGAGGGAGGTGGAGAGAAGGAATCTCCACGAAAAGGGGCAGAAATGTTGGTTCTCGATGAACATGTTCGTTGCCCTGAGGGAAGCGAAGGACTGGGAAGCTTACCAATGTGCATACCTACACGTGACAGTTTACTTCATGTCAGTTTTAATTGCAGTAGAGCTATTTAAAAAAGATAATTACAGCATGGGGAGAATCTGCATAGAGGAGCGAAGAACTTTTTATGTACCAAAACTGGGGGATGGGAGCACAGAATAGAATTAAACCTGCACGAACATTAAAATATTATACAGACTTCACCCTTCCTTCCTTCCTTCCTTCCTTCCTTCCTTCCTTCCTTCCTCCCTTCCTTCCTTCCTTCCCTCCTTCCATCTTCTCTCCCTCTTTCCTTCATCTATCTTTTCCTTCTTTCCTTCCTTCTTTTCCTTCCCTTGGTTCCTTCCCTCCTACCCTCTCTCCCTCATTCCTTTCCTCCTTCCCTTCCTCCTTCCATTCTTGCTTTTTTTCATTTCCCCTTTCCTTCCTTCTCTCCCTTTCTCATTCTTTTTCTCCTTCCCTTCCTTCTTTTCTCGCATTCTTCCTTCCTTCTTCAGCACTGAGGATATAACCCACAGTCTTGCTATATACATTGGGCTCCAGGCCCAGCCCTGCAACTTCAGTAATTGTACATGGCCCTGGGTGACTGAGCTCCTCTCATGCCAATGTACACATTGGCATTAGATGTTCTCAGTAAACATTTGGGGCTGGGGGAGATAATGCT